CTGGGCAGCCGCGCCGGAGCGCCGGCCCGGCTCCCCGGAGGATGAACGGACCGGCGAGGGAGGTAAGGGGAGGCCGGGCGGGTCAGGGGCAGCGGGGCGGTCCGGAGGGGCTCCCACCCTGCTCCGGGGCATCGCGGCGAGTAGTGCTGGTGATCTCCGGCTCCGCGCGGCAGCCCGGGGGTGGTGGAGATGTGTCCGACCGGTGGTGCTGCCAGAGCGTCTGCCTGGTCCCGCTCAACACGGCTGAGCTCGCCGGGAGCTTTGTTCAGCAGTGCCCGGTGCGCAGAGCCAGAGGCTTCCTGTGAATGCATGACCACCCGAGAGGGATTTGCTGTGCAGTTACTCAGTTATTCCCGCAGAAGAATAAATCAAGGGAGCAGAGTTCTGTTACTAAAGTAATAACGAGCAAAGAACAAGATTCAGAGGAAACGACTACTGAAGTCAAGCTGGGGGACTTTTCAGTGCGGGTAGGAGAACCACAGATGCTTTTCTTAACTTTTGACTGCTGTGAAGTATTTGATTAAATCCTGTTAAAAAAGCAGACCAAAGCGTTTGGTGAAGAGTAGAAGCCTAAGCCTTTTAAATGTGATGTGATCACTGTTGTCTTAGAAAATTTGCTTATAACTAGAAGTGTCTGGCCACTGTCCTGCCAAAAGTTGGGGTCCTCAAGGGAAATAATGCTAACACATAATGCTACTGCTAGTGGCTGAAGCCTGTAGTTGCTATGTATTTCTATACATTACTCTTCCACTTCAAAGCAATGGAGTAAAGGGTTGCTGTGTCTCGAGGGTTTGCTGCTATGAAGGACAGTGCCGAGTTGGCTCATCCTAGGGAAAACGACTGCAGATGTCTGTCCCCAGGAGAAAATTTACATCCCTGGGGCAGAGCTCATCAGCTGTGAGCAGTGAGGAGCAAAAGTCAGGGAGTGAATCTTCTTCTGCCCCCGGGGAGAGAGAAGCAGCTGCACACAGAGGAGGGAAAGAGCCACAGCTCTTCCTTGCTCACACACAAAGAGGTGAAGGAGGTAGAGAGTGGAGGAAGGCCCCTGCCCCTCCTTGCTGTCTCAGCACAGTTTGTGCCCCACAGCATTTACAATAGTAGCACAGACTGTTAGTGGAAAGGGAACCGGACTGCGTTTCCTCTTTAGCTCTGCTCCCTTGAGTGATCTTGGAAACAGGCTTCTCCATGACTCAGTTCTCCCACTTGCAATATATCCATAGCACAAAGTATTTTACAAACTTCTGGGGAAAACTGAGGTAGCTGGCATTGTCCAAGCCAATTAAAATCTGACCGTAAAAGGCCAAAGTTAGGTTTTACAGTGTGAATAGCAAGTAATTCCAGAAAACTATTTTTATCTGAGCAGTACCTGAGGGTATCTTATTGTAGGGTGTTGCTATTGGGAGATTGTTACTCACAGCACTCACAGAATTTAGTATGCAAAGACAATATTACAAACCCATAGTAAATTAAAACACAGTTTTGCTGCAGCAGATGATTTTTCAAAGTCATGAAATGAAAGGGATTTGGGGCAGGGAAGAAAGAAGTAGGATTTGATTTTGCTTTCTTGCTGAGCTGGAGAAAGCTTTCAGCGAAGTTACTCATGATTACATTGGTGAGAGTCATCACATTTGTGGACTGCAAAGTACTTTCTGCTCCTCCTCAGGTGAAAGAAATAACATTCACCTCTTGTATTTAGTATCTTTCTGTTTTCCAAGTGCCATAATTTCTTGTATTGTTGATGAGTAAAAGCATGAGTTTAGCATTTGAGAATCTATAACAGGTTATCAAATTACTATAGAGGTGGGTTTTTTAAACAAAATAGATGTATACAGAGGAAGAGTTCTATTCTAGCTGCCATGATTATTATTTTCCTCATATCTATTTTAAGTTAAAAACACAGCACATAGTCTGGATAATTTAAATAAATGTTAGATATTTACTTTGCTGTAATCTGGCTACGCAGCATGTTAGTTTTTACTGTAGTTTAAAAATGTGTTAGACCAATATGAAAGAATTGAGAAATTGTTGAGCCTCCTAAGAGCCTAGTAAATTTTTTTTTGTACAGGTTTATTTATACATTCTTAAACTGGTTTTACAGTAAATGAACCATGAATAGAGGTAACTGTCTTCAGTAGCTGGTTCTCAAGTACCAGATTTTTAAGTCTCTGTAAAATGTGACCTCTGAAGTAGTATATTCTTACTGCAATGAACTGGGATTTACAGATGTTACTTCCAATAACGCCAACATAAACTTGCCAATCTACTCAAAGCATACAGTCTTAATACTGAGGTCAGAGTGAAACATATGATTGGCTTTGGAAGGGATATAAAGTTTGGACGAGTATATTTTCCTCATTGTGGAGGGATTTGCTGGTATAAACACCATAGAGAATGTATATCCACTGGTTTTTAGTGGAAAAAGACAAAATACTTCAGGGTTCTATGGATGGCTTCCACGATCACTCATATGCTTAAATTCTTCATGCTGAAATTACCGTGTAAGAAACTGGCTTCTTGTGAGCATAAAATTTGTTAGGATTTATACAGTTGTGACTAAAGCCAGTGAAGGCTCTTTATTAGTGGAAAAACCTGGTGTATGTGAATATCTTCTAGTGGCTGGATGCACTGGCTTAATTCTGGGGCCATACTAAACATGTGTTTCTGA